TTGCCTGAAGTTTTTTTGTGATTTCAGAGCTTCGATCCGGAGGCCGTCGGAGCGTTTGAACTGCTGGCGTCCGTTCCCGAGTTTTCGGGACGTTTCTGGTGAAAGAATTTGTTACCCTACTCTAAGAAGGAGTTCCCTCTCCCTTTTTTGACAAAAAGGTATTTTTTGATTGCTCGATACAATAGTACATGCTTTTGCCGACGGGGCCTGATGATATCGGTCGTTCGGTCCGATACATTGTTTTCCTATAAGAACCCCATTTGGCGTTTTTCAAAACTCCTACGAGCGGGCAGCTTTCTGGGGGGAATGCCCCTCGCTTATTCAAAAGTCAGCCGCAGGGAAAGTCTTGAATATTTTTGCAGAGTTCCCTCTTAGGCGGCTCGCATACGTTGCCTTGTTAAAAACATTGCCGGTAAAAACCCTTCTTCTGGGATAAAAACTCGGCGAAGGAAAAGAGTGCAACGGGTGTGCCTTTGGAGCCTTGAGGTCTTGCGATAGCACTAGCGTTCTGGCAGCTCCGATTGGGTGCCTGCACGAAGGTTAATTCCAAATTCGAAGTAAAAGAAAAAAGGGAATAACCGTACCTTGAAATGAGATATGCTGGTGATGCCTTGGGATCGGTCCATTATAACTGCCCGGGGGCGGAGATGCGGCATGGATCTCTACTTTGTTTTGTCAAGCTCGACCGGGGGCGAGACCCGATTTGCCCGTTGTTTTATTTGGGGGCGGAGGCATGAGCGTTGGTACCACGTCGTGTATAGCGAACATTTCCCTTGCCGCATGTTGTTCCCCGTAAACGGTTTTGATCTCGTCCTTTGTCGGGAATTTTATCACCTGGTGGAGGGCGGATGGTACTGCTCTCGTACAGTGTATCCATGACCGCCCAAATAAGGAGTTATACCTCATATCTCCCTCGATGACATGGAATTTGGTGTCTTGGGTTGTGCCGGCCACGGTAACCGGAAGGACGATTTCTCCTTTCGTCGTTTCGCTCGCCATGTTGAATCCATTGAGGACTCGAGTGGCGGGCACAATTTGTTCGAGCAATCCGAGCTGTTCTATCACCCTCGACCTGATAATATTGGTCGAGCTACCTGGATCCACGAGTACACGTTTTATCTGAAAAGAATTCACAAGAAAGGAGATTACCAGGGCGTCGTTATGGGGTTGAGACAGGGCCTCGGTGTCCTCTTCGCTGAACGTGAGGGCGTCTTCGGGGATATATCCCCGAGTCCGTTTTTCTCTGGTGATGGATATTTTTTTCTTCTCATTACGGGTTCCTGCGGGGCATCGGCGCCCCCCATGATCATATGGATGACGTGTTGCGGCTTGTTTACCTCGATTTTCTTGGTTACCTCCGGAACTGATTTTTGGCCCGATCGCTGAGGAATTCCCGAAGGTGTCCTTTGTTGAGCAGTCGAGCCACTTCTTCTCGTAGTTGGTGGTAATCCTCGGTCATGTGACCGTGCGTGCTGTGGAAATCGCACACTAAGTTGTAATTTCTCTGCAAAGTGTCTGATTGTATCGGTTTGGGCCACTTGGCGTCTCTGATTTTGCTGATAGCGAACACGATGTCTGATACATCGACGCTGAAGTTGTATTCCGATAAATGGGGCGCGTTTGTTGGTGCGATGTTTCGATCAAACCTGGTTCTGTTGACAAGCCCTCGAGGGTCCTGTCCTCGATCTATCCTCCGATCATTGCCAGGTAGGTTGCGCCTTGGGGCGTTCCTTTTGTCTTCGAGGTATGGCTGGTACCTTTCTTTGTTTGGTTTCGATTCTTTTACCAGGAGTCTGTTTGGGTACACTGAGCCCGAAGGGGCTCCCAGTTGGTCATCCTCGGCCCTGATCTTTGACTGGTATCGGTTGTGGACGTTCGACCAGGTCACGGCCGGATATTCGATCAGGTTCTGCTTCAGCTGTTTTGAAGCCACCGAGCTTCGTTCGTTCAGGCCTTGGGTGAAGGCCTGAACTGCCCAGTTGTCGGAGACTGGCGGTAGCTCCATCTGTTCCATCTGGAAGCAGGACATGAATTCCCGCAGCGTCTCGTTCTCTCTTTGCTTGATTTTGAAAACATCAGACTTCCTCGTTGCTACCTTGATGGCTCCAGCATGTGCTTTTACGAAGGAGTCTGCTAACATGGCGAATGAATCTATGGAGTTGGGAGCCAAGTTGTGATACCACATCATGGCCCCCTCCGAAAGCGTTTCTCCGAATTTTTTCAGCAATACGGACTCGATCTCGTCATTCTTTATATCGTTGCCTTTTACTGCGCATGTATAGGCATTAACGTGTTTGTTGGGGTCGGTGGTACCGTTGTACTTAGGGAGTTCCGGCATTCTGAACTTTTTAGGAATGGGCTTTGGGGCCGCTTCCTCGGGGAACGGCCTCTGTATGAACTTCTTCGAATCCAAACCTTTCAGGATCGGGGGTACTCCCGGGATCTGATCTACCCTAGAGTTGTAGGTCTCGACCTTTTTATCGTCGGCTGCAATCATTTTCTCACCTGATTCGATCCTTTTGGTGAGGTCCTCGAGCATCTTCACTATGGCAGGGTCAGCCACTAACCCGTTATTGCTTGACCTTTCGGGTACTTGCTCAGCGGGGGAAGCTGTCTCTGGTGCCGCTGTGCTGAGAGTCTTCGGATGGCTTCGCAACTGGGCAATGGCCAGTTGTTGTGCCTGCAACATTTCAAAAATAACATGAAGACTAACTTCCTGTTCTTTTCGGGCCGGGGTTTTTTGAGCTTCTTGTTGGTCGTTGTGCCGTATGCTCCTGTCGGTGTGAGAAGTTTCGTCGACTTGTTGTGTGTCCTGTGAATCCGCGTCCGCTAGAATCGGGATTCTGTGGTGGTGCTCCAGCAGCCGGGACCAGTGTTTTGGAAAGCGTTAAGCGCAAAAAAGTGACGAGGCCTCGCTTCACCAAAGCGAGAAGCGAAGCGCGCGCTTTTTTCATGTGAAGTGCAATTTAACACATAAATAAATAAAAAAAAATAAGCATAGATAAATGGCTAAGAACTCATTAAAAATAACATATTAAGCAAATGTTTCAATTCTTGAATCAAGAAGCAAATAATAGATACTAAAACTAGATAGTGAATAATCCTTAAAAGTCATAACATATTAAGCAAATGCAAAACAAAATCACAAAAACAGAAAACAGAGCATAGTTTAGGGCACAAAAATAGAGAAACCAGAAAACAGAGCATAGTTTTAGGGCACAAAAACAAAGCAATAAACCAGAAAATAGAGCATCGTTTTAGGACACAAAATCAGCACTTAAAAAAGTGAAAAAAATTGAAAGAAGAAGAGAAAAATAGGGCAGAAGAACAGACATAAATTAGATGTGTAGAACAGAGCAATAGAAAGTGAAAAAAATAGAAAGAAAAAGAGAAAAAAGGAGTCGAGAAGAAGAAGAAGAAGAAGAAGAGAAGAAGAACAGAAGAAACAGAGAAAAAAGGAGCCGAACAGAAGAAGAAGAGAGAAGAAGAAACTTACAGAGAACTGGAGAAGAAGCGGTAGTTGGAGCAGCAGAAGAGCGTATGTTTATTTGTTAACAGATAGTTTATTTGACAAAAAATTTTAAAAAAACCCTAGTAGATGCCTTCACATCGCTTAAGCACACTTTTTTGCGCTTTTTCAATCGAGGCGCTTCTCACTTAAGCGGTTAAAGCGTGTGCTTTTTAAATGTGAGTCGCTTTTGGGGCAGAAAAGCGATAGCCCAGCGCCTCGCGTCGATTCAGCGCTTAAAGCGAGCGCTTTTAATAACACTGGCCGGGACAGCCACGCCATTTTTCCCGTGGTTTTCGAGGTTGTCGTTCTCGACTCTGTTTACCGAGCCAAACATTTCGACCTGAAATCAAAGGGTCTTGGACAAGAAAAAGTGTGAGAGATAATGTGCGTTTGTGCACTGAAACCAGCAAGAAAATAATCACTATTATTTTTAGCCCCACGGTGGGCGCCAAAATGTTTACTGTGAAAATGGTAACAACAATTAAATTTGTAAATGGGATTCTAAAAATACGTGATCTATTCTCGAGCTAGTTGTTAGAGCAGTTGATGTTGAGAATGTGAAGTTTAACGATGAGATGCAAGCTTAAAACGAGGCAGTAATCAAACCGAGGGGCATGTTGCCCGGATGTAGGACTGGTCGATGGGGACCTCGGGGTCAATGTCTAAGTCGAGCTCGAGCTATCGGGGGCAATCGGGAATGGGATAACAATTAAGTTATGATCAAGAAAAGCTCTATATAGCCAATACCAAGCGATAAACAAAGAACAAGAAAGAAGGCAATAAAAGCTAAATGGCCTCGAGCCAGTGAGGGCAAGCGAGTTACAGAGGAGAAAGAGAGAGAAGATATTATTGTACTTGAGTAGAATGGTTGGAGCTCTGCCTTTACAGGATGTTAGCGACTCCCCTTTTATAGAAAGGAGGAAGCCCAAACTTAGTACAAGATACGTTGCGTGATAAAAGAAATGGGATGGGACAACCCGCTAGCTTTACGATGAACGCGCGGGCTGATATCGAGCCGCTTGAATAGACCTGATCGAGCCCGGGTGCCTTCCTCGGAAGATTTATGCGTTTGACGGGGCTGTGGTCGACATTATCCTTGGCAGGGTACCGGCCGATCTTGAGGGAAGTGACTGGCTCGAGATCCCGGGCTTCCGGGATCACCCTTCGAGGCATTTTGTCGAGGAGAAATCGGCCTCCCAGATTTCACCGTGCACACTACAGTTATTTAAAAAATTATAGAATTATATTAACTACATCGTAACCTTGGAGCAACGGTAAAGTTGTCCCCGTGTGACCTATATGTCACGGGTTCGAGCCTGAAAGCAGTCACTAATGCTTGCATTAGGGTAGACTATTTAAGTCACATGCCTAGGGTGTTGCCCTTCCCCCGACCCCTCTATTTAAAAACTTATAAACTTTAGATAGTATGACATTTGTAGTTATCAGGTCAACAAAATGATATAACAGTAAATAAGTAGCTAGTGTAAACCTGTGAGAGAAGGAGAACAGTGAAGATCAGCACAGTCAGCAAGTCTGGGGCTACCCATAAGGGGAGCTTCATTTCCAACTTCATTGCAGAAATTCCAAGCTTCCAATGCAAATCTGGCATTTGGGTTTCTCATACCAGGGTCACCAATTGCAGAAACATAGGAATCTTGGATTGTTAAGGACGCTGCTGCATCACAAATATGAAGGAGCAGAGTAAAAAGTAAAGTTGAATAGAAAAAACCCATGAGATTGTATTGTCAGATCAAAAACAGCAAGAACTATGAATTTATTATGCTAAGTGTTGTTTCATTTTCATTTTCATTCTCATTTTCAGTGATTGATGATCGACGAACAAAATAGACTTCCCTTTTGAGTCACTACTGATTTTGCCGTCCAAGCTAAGAGTTCGATAGAAAATTCCAATTTAGAGGAAAACTATGTATTGTTAAGCTATTTTACGTTATGCCCCTCACGACTTTAATTATCACATACTCCGTACACTTTAATTTATTGATAAATTCTGATTTTAATATTTGTGATATATGATTCAATATATTTTATCTTCAACTTTCAAATGTGTATATTTAGAGCCGTTTGGACATAAGAAATTTTTTCATTTTTTACAAAAAGTTTTTTTTTCGAAATCAGGGTTTGTTCATAAATTTTTCAATTTTCACTAAGAAGATGCATTTTAGAAATTTTCGCAAATTTGAAAAATTCAAAAAAGCTATTTTTCAAAATTTTCACTCACAAAACTTTAAAAACAATCCAAAATTATGTTAATGTCCAAACACAACTCTAAGAACCCATTTGGCCATAGATTTTGCCAAAATATATTTGGGATTTTTTTGGCAAATACATGTTTGGCCATAGATTTTATCCATATTTTGTCATATTCCCAAAACCCAAATCTCAAAACCAGCTCTGGCCCAAAATATTACTATTAATTTTTTTTAAAATTGCCCCAAACTTTTGTATTTTATAAAATAGCCCACCATTTATTATTTTGTAATAATGTTGCTTCGTTTTTTCGGTCATCTGATAGTGTATTATGTAGTTCATTAAAAAAAGAATTGTACCAAACTTATTCATGTTTAGGACTATGGTTTGTGAGAATGATAATGAAGGTACTGTTGGGTATTTGTGATAGTTTTTAGAACTTGTGGTATAAGTCATATTTCATGTTTTTTCAAAAAAAAAAAGTGAAATATGTTTTGAAAACTAATGTCCAAACACATTTTCATCTTCAAACCAAACTTCACCCAAATCAGATTTTTCAAAATAAATTTGGGAATCTATGGCCAAACGCTAGCTAAATTTCAAATACCATTTTCACTTGACAAAAATTTTCACCATGTTTTGGAATTTTACAATTCTTATGTCCAAACGCCCACTTAGTTCTTTCATGTAGTAAACATATGCGGATTCAGGATTTAAAGTATATGGATTTAATCTTTAATTTTTTTTTAGCTTCGAACCCATTATAATTTTAAAGTTATATCAGCTATTTATTACAATTCTGATGAATTTTTATACATATATTATGGTACGCATCAAAAGTATTGGATTCAGATAAATATTAGTATAAAGCTAGATATGCCCTTGGTAGGAAATATGTTATATTTTAACTAATTTTAGAATTATATTATCGTCAAATATAAAGTGTAACAATATAAATTTAAGTTTAACGTAACATATTAGTAATTAAATGATGAAACAGGTAATGGTTTGAGCTTTCAAAAGATCACTTGAACATTTCTACTAAAAATATGCCTAATTTATCTGTATTGCATTTCACCTTTCTTGATTTACAATAGGTTTTGCTTATTTTCTTGGAATGTATAAATACATACACAATGCAACAACAAAATTATTTAGCTGGGAGAAAATTGAAAATTGATATTTACCTATTTTTTATTATTTGACATTTTTACGAATTAGCAGATGGAGAACATTAGATATTGGACATTTTACACTAATTTTGGGCTACTTAAGGCAGGATGTTTCTATGGTAAAGATTATCGATATATGGTAATTATAAAATTAAAATAACTCAAAGAACAAAAGTGGAATTTTATCTTTTGCAAAATATCGAGGAATTAGACTGTCGAATTGTCTATCTACTGTCAATCTCATTAATGAAAAATCAGTTTTACCTAATGTTGTAAGTACATAGGTACTACCTATATGATAGATTATTTAGGCAAATATATCCTACTGTTCCTTTTTTTTTTTGGAAAAGGCTCAAATTCACTCGAGAAAAAAGTCCATATATTATTCATGACTTTTGACTAATGTTTAAAATTATTTTAAAGGTTAGGTTCTGTTAGGGGTCAAGAGCAAAGACGAGAGCATAATGATGGGGTTAAATTAGACAAAAGTTTAAACCAAAGACAAAGCTATTTAATTTCGACTAGCATATAGACAAATTAGACATTTTTTGTTGCTTTTCCCAAACAATGACGATATCTTATCCAACGATGTTGATGGGTTAAGTGAGGAGAAAATGATATTCATACCACAGTTATGTTATGTTTCGCTTTTCATAATTTCTTAATAAATTTTATTTTTAAAGTTATGGTATGTTGGTGCAGGTCTACATTTTTTTTGTCTTCGTCATACCCCTAAAACTAAAATAATATTTACCTCTTGGTCCTTGCTTTCTTCAACATAAGAGTGAAAACTATGCAGAAAATCCAGGATAACGAAATTTGGTCGCTTCCTTAAAAGTAATAAGGCAATTTGGCACCTATAATTCCTACTGCAGACTTGCTCCTGTTTTATTTGGAAAAATTGCTAGTTATAGTATCCTACAACTTGATTGAGAACTAAAAATTAGTAAAGTAAACTATAAAATGAAACAAATTAAATTGTAGGGTGCACAAACAATCTATTTGATTGATCCATCGGAAGGAGGTGGTGAGTTTAAGGGACCTGAACTCGGTTATGCAATCCATTATCGCGATCATTGTAGCACGCGTGTCATCCAAGACATAAGGGGCATGATGACTTGACGTCAATGTTATTTTACTTCATTATAAAACTTAACACAACACCTCACGACACGAGCAATGTTATTTTACTTCATTATAAAACTTAACACAACACCTCACGACACGAGCTGATGAGAGCCATGAAATTCTTTTTGTTGTCACTTTGATTGATACGAAGTTGCAGTGTTCTTCATGCAATTTCTAGCTCCTATCGGCATTTCATTTCGAAAGGATGGATCGACTAGCTTTTTTCATCTTGTTTCAACCTCTTTCTTAACAGTTTCTAGAGAAAGAGAACAAGTAGTTTATAAGTTATCTAAACATATTTATATACATTTATTATGTAATAACAAACCTGACAATAAAATCGCAGCAAATGAATCAGAAACAGCACTATAAGAGTTTATATAGTATAAAGAAAGACCACAATTTGCCAACAAGAAAACCATGGCAAACCAAAAGAAAAATCTATCTAGATTCTCACATCATTATACGTGGGGAGTAATTGCTATGTTTACTTTCCACCTAGATATTAACAATATCATTTTGACCAATCAAAATGGAACATTTTTTTTCATAATGCTAACAAGAGAAGAAGATGCTTGAGCTGAACAAGGAGAACAAAGGAAATAGCATCATAAGAGAAAACAAGCATAGTTAATGAAAGACTTGACATTTCACTGCTCATACATAACCAACTCAAATGAGGCATCTAGTCCAAAAAATGATATGGTTTCAAAGTTTCTTGCATAAAGATATAATCTGCGGAAGAAGGCAAAGATAAAAGACTTGGTTCTGGCAAGTAAGATATCTAACTTCGAACCAGAAAACTCTAGTTCATTCTCTGAGCAGCTTCCTTGGCAAGAACTCTCTCTTTAGCCTTGGTTCTGGCTTGTGATTTGGAGCCCATGACACCACCACCCCATTTCTTTCTGTTCTCCTCGTACTTATCGTTGAAGTTGGCCTGAAAAAGTAAAATGAGCATCAGATCAAATCGAAAGAAAATAAAAGTGTAAAGATCACCAGCTAAACACGCTTTAAAATACCTTAATTGCCTCCAAAATTCTACTGAACTCCATCTTGTCTTCATTCTTCACAGTTGTCAAGCATAACGCTGACGCAGTTTTCTTATGCACAATCTGGAAATCAAACAGAATGATCAGTATCTAATCTTTTAAAGAAAGTAGACTTGATTACGCTCTTTCTTTATAGAATGTAAACCAGAAGTTGCTTACCGATCCTAAACGTGCTTTTCCCTTCACAATACAATATGGAATTTCCATCTTTCTGCACAATGCTGGGAGCCAGACGACCAATTCTATTGGGTCAACATCATGTGCAATCACCACTAACTGTGCTTTATTCTGCAAGGCCATTAATAGCAAAAAGTCATTTTTATGAAAAATTAAACTCCAAAAAGGATTAAAGGATTTGTTAGACTAAAACAAACCTGCTCGATAAGGTAGGTGATGTGCTTAAGACCATACTTTACAATAATAGGTTTCTTGGTTTCAGGAGTTTTGCCTTCTGCCTCGGCTTGAGCTCTTTTGACAAGGCGCTCCTTCTTTGCAGCCTTGTCCTCGGGCCTGTACTTCAGAAGCATCTTGAATAGGTTTGTAGCTGCATACTCAAAATAAGAGCAAAAGCAAAAGTTCAGCTCAGTTGCCATGAAACTGCTTGCACCAAGTATTTTTTTTTATCACCAAAGCTTGGACCAAGTACAATAGAACAAAAGTGGGGCCTTATTAAAAAGGATAGCTCAAATTCGGCTCCTAAAATTAAGATCGAGGATAATAAGCTTAAATACTAGTAACCAGACTGCAAAAGAAGTGGAAAGATAAGTAGTGAAGCTTGCAATGTAGGAGCTAGGAACCACGGGAACATTACATATCAATCAACTTGCCTAAAGAAAGAATAAAATGCCAGTGAGGTATCCTACTTCGACTACATCTAAACTGTCAAGAATCTGGTCTCAATGTCCCAAAAAACATAAAGTAACAATCCAGCTGGTCCAAAAGTATCGTACTTTTCAAGATAGAAAAACTCAGATACATTATTGATCAGGTACAACAATGAGTAATAGTGATACTACTTTATGCCAATGTCGTGACTTCAAAAATAAAGAAAACAGAATACTGCTTTTTGGGAGAATAAAAAAGTTATTGAATCCCAAATAACAGGAGGGAACTCGGAATAAGCATTTTTTACGGATAAAAACAGATCCATGTGTCTATTCAAAAGACAGTGGAAAATGCAAACAATTGGCCTTTTCAAGTTCTCAACATTATCCGCCTGACAAAAGTTCATGTTTTTCACCATCTCCCAATTCAGTACACTGACAAAATTGAGGAACGGCCTCAGAAGCTAGGAGCATACACCCAATAATCAACATAATTTAAGTAGATAGTCACTTCATCCCACTGTAATTAACCTATAGTTGAAATAGCCAG